GAAAAGAAAGGTCCTTGGGACACAGCCTGACACCCCTCAAATAGTAACTAACCCCCTCAATTCCTCTCCACGGTGGCCAACCTCATTTTAAGAATGTCTCATTACCGATACTCCATCACCATCTGTCAGTGGGTCATACTGTGGTCACTTGCATGTTGCTGTGATGCTGAATGCTATGTCATTGGTATTTCTTACTGGCAGGGTCACCCATGGTGCACAGGTTTCAGTGGAGCGTCCAGACTAAGACAGACGAGGAAGAAAAGCCTGGTATCTCTTCCAAAAATTGGCCAATGAAAACTCTATAGATTACAACAAAATATTGTCTGATACAGTGCTGGAAGATGAACTCTCTAGGTTAGAAGGCATTCAGAATACCCACTGACTCCAACAGTGGACTCAAGGATATCAATGATTAGGAAGATGGTGCAGGACTGGGCAACGTTTCATTCTGTTGTATATGGGGTTGCCATGAGTCGAATCTGACTCAATAGCAGCTAACAACACCCATGACAGACATTAGCTGTTCCAAAGAGCACTTGTTGATTCACCAGGGCCATGTCCCTGTGAACCTTTGGTGGGTCACACCCATTGTCCCGGGCCCCGGCTCCTGACTATCTGTGGTCCTCAGCTCAGGGAAGGAGCCCATGTCAGGATGGCTTGGGTAACGTCTACAGTCCAGGTGCATGGGTGGTTTCCACAAACACTCCCAGTTGAGTTGGTCCTCAAATTTGATGTGCATAAAAGCAACTAAAAAGGGGCTCTGGGGGAATATGTGGGGTGATGGAACTGCTCTGTATCTTGGTGTGGTTACTTGATCATGCGTGTTTGTCAACACTTGGCAAAACTATACGTTATATAAAGAGTGAACTTTACCTTAAAAATGAAAAAAATAAACAAGTACGTTATTAGAGAGAGTATTATAAATTAAAAAAAAAATTAAGCTGGATAATAGGCATAAACTCTCCTGGCAAATGAGGCCATATGATCACTATATTAAGGCCTAACACACAGCTTTGTTCATTAAAAAAAACAGTTACCACTGAGTTGATTCTGACTCCTGGCGAACCCACGTATGTCAGAACAGAACTGTGATCCATAGGGTCTTCAGTGGCTGACTTTTTGGAAGTAGATCGCCAGATCTTTCTTCTGAGGTGCCTCTGGGTGGACGTGAACCAGAAACCTTTTGGTTGGCAGCTGTGTATATTAACTGTTTATACCACCCAGGGACTCCCGGCGCAGCCGAAGCTGTTGGGTTTTCCGATGGTTGCTCTGGCTTGGGGGCCCGCCCTGCACTTGGGCCCAGGGAGGCAATGGTACCATTCTGTTGAGCACCCCTGGCACCTGGCTGGGGGTGCTGTGGGCCTCCTTCGCCCAAAACTTCCTGCTGTTAATGGTTCAAGCTGACACCAAAGGCTGCTGCTGGGTCTTGATGTTCCACTTTTAAATAAAATGTAGGCTCAAGAAAGAAGCAGATGTTTGCTAGTAACGAGGATTCAGAGAGACACCTCCGTGGGAGCAGGTTCCCTGAGTGGCGCGGACCATTTCATCTTGTTGACAAACACATGTTGCAAGACAGGAAATTACCCTCCTTGATGCCGATTTTATCTCCATTTAATTGCTGTTGGATAATAAATTACGACAAAGAGTCCATTAATTAAGCTAACAATGTCCGTGGAGCACCAGTTCCTTCTTCTGGGAGTTGCCTTGTGACAGGAGCTTTGATGCAGTCTCTGTTTGCCACAGCACTTTATAAAGTGGTTTAAAAAGATGCGAAGGCACGTGAGGGATGGGAGAATAGGGCTCCTAGTTTAGCAGGATGAGGCACTGGTGGTTGAGTGCTAAAATTCTCACCTTCCATGTGGGACACCCGGGTTTGATTCCCAGCCAATGTACCTCATGCACAGCCACCATTCGTCAGTGGAGCTTTGTGTGTTGCTATGGTGCTGAACAGGTTTCAGCAGAGCTTCCAGACCAAGACAGACTAGGAAGAAAGGCCTGGTGATCTACTTCTGAAAATCAGCCAATGAAAACCCTGTGGAGCACAGTGGTCTGATCTGCAACCAATCATGGGAATGGCGTAGGACTGGGCAGTGTTTTGTTGCACCGTGCATGGGGCTGTTATGAGATGGGGGCTGACTGCACGGCAGCTAGCAACGACAAGTACTGAGTTCAAATGTCACTTATTCAGAAGACTGGAAAAAGCAGCCTAGGAGTTAAGTGTTATTCTGAAAGCTACCACTGGCATTTCTCAAAATGATGGTCACATACAAAGTGAACCTCTAGGTTCCATGTCCAGGTCTCTGCCGCCTGGCTGGAGGAGATGCGGTGGGTGTTCTGGGCCCTGCCTCCCACCCTCTGTGTACTCTCACTTCGTGTATCTATCCCTAGCCATCTCAGCCTGACCACTAGGTTTGAGGGGTATCTTAGTCATCTAGTGCTGCTGTAACAGAAATACCACAAGTGGACGTCTTTAGCCAACAGAAGTTTATTCTCTCACAGTCTAGGAGGCTAGAAGTCCAAATTCAGGGTGCCAGCTCCAGGGGAAGGCTTTCTCTCTCTCTGTCAGATCTGGGGGAAGGTCCTTGTCATCAATCTTCCCCTGGTCTAGAAGCTTCTCAGCACAGGGACCCTGGATCCAAAGCATGCGCCATAGGGCTTCCAAGGAGTGGCTAGTGGATTTGAACTGCTGACCTTTTGCTTAGTAGCCAAGCTCTCAACCACTATGCCACCCCAAAATTAGCCAATCAAAATCCTATGGAGCACAACAAAACACTGCGTGACTTGCTTGCTTTGGACTTGTCATCAGGAGGGGTCAACCACCGGAGGAGGACATTGTGTTTGGTGAAGTAGAGGGCTGGTGAGGGTGAGGGAAACCCTCGGTGAGATGGAGTGGCACAGTAGCCACAGTGATGGATCTGAACATGCCAGCAATCATGAGGATGATGCGGGACTGGACCACATTTCATTCTGTTGTACGTAAGGTTCCCATGAGTTGGAGTGGACTAGATGGCAGCTATCTATTTATAGGCATGTGGCAGGACTCAAATACTCATGGTGTTAAATGGACTTGATGTGAATTTTACGTGCTTTGGTTGTGCTGGAGGGCCTGGGTTGTAGTTTTGCTTTGCTCACAGGTATTCGACTGTGGGCCTCAGTTTCCTCATGCTGCTTGTCTGTCTCCCAAAGTTGCTGCAATGTCAATGACTCAGGATTCCACCTGTAACCCATCTGGCATTAATCATCCACCTTTGGAAAAGCCACCAGGTCAGAGGACACTCGAAAGGTCTGGGCTGCGGTGTCCATCATCCATGTGGTGGTGGCAGAAGGAACACAATTCTGCTCTTTCTGGGTACTGGCCCAGTGGGGAAGCAAAGCAGCTCTGTGCAGAGAAAACCCACGAGCCTTTGTGAGTCCATGCGTGACCGATGGATGTCAGTTTGCATGTGGGTGTGTGTGTTCAAAAGAGCCCTGTGATGCGGTAGTTAAGTGCTCTGCTGCTAACTGAAAGGTTAGCGATTCAAACTCAACAGCCACTCCATGGGAGAAAAGATCTAGTGATCTGCTCATGTAAAGATTTAAAAAAAAAAACCGAAAAACCCACTGCCATCGAGTCAATTCTGACTCATAGCAACCCTATAGGACAGAGTAGAACTGCCCCATGGGGTTTCCAAGATGTGGCTGGTGGAATCGAACTGCTGACCTTTTGGTCAGCAGCTGAGCTCTTAACCACTACACCATCAGCGCTCCCCTGTAAAGATTACAGCCTTGGAAACCCTGTGGGACAGTTCTACTCTGTCCTACAGGGTCTCTATGAGTCAGAATCAACTTGATGGCAATGGGTTTGTGTGTGTGTGTTCACAGAACACGGGAGAGAGCAAAGGGAACTTACAGGGCACCTTGTACAGATGAACACACTGAGACCCGGAGAGAGAAGGTCCTCTGACCTTCTGTGAGTCTTAGAATCCAGCTATCCAGCGCTCCTCTGGAACTGAATATAAATGTCTGCTCAGTTTGGAGCCTGCCTTTGTCACTACTGGTTAACACAACGATGGTTTAAACTGTAACAGGTGTCAAGTCCAATGGTGGGCTTAACCAATTGTACTACCCAAGGAGGCATGCAAAACAGTAGTCAGAAAGCAAATAACCTTGCCATTGTGAAAAGCTCTAACAACACTGATTTATACACACAAAGCTAGCACCAAGTTGTCAAAGGAAATTCAGTTATCAGGGCTCTAGCTATACTTCCTGGATAATCACCGTGCCCTTTTGAAGTTATCTAGTGTGTTCTCCTGAGGAACCAGAGAACACATGTGTTCTGGGAAACGTCACTGTGTGCATCTTCCCCTCCCACTCAGCACTCTGCTCTCGTACCAGCAATGCCGCTCAAGGTCATACTTACCATTGAACTAATGCTGGTCTTTGCAGATGGACATGTCAGTCAGGTTCTCATGGAGGAATCAGCTAACCATTTCTTTGGAGTTGTGAGCAAGTACATTTGGCTATAACTACAGCATGTGCACATGGAATCTCTGGGTGACGCACATGGGTAGGCACTCAACTACTAACCCAGAGGTACCTCAGAAGAGAGGCCTGGCAATCTGCTTCTGAAAGGTCACATCCTTGAAATTCCTATGGAGCAGTTCTACGCTGCACACATGAGTAGGAATCGACTTGACAGCAATTAACAACAGCAGCAGCATACGTACATGTGTTCTATTCTGGCACACCGACAAGTGATTTTGCAGTTTATTCATGTTTTCCTTTTAGTATGAAAAGTCCATATTGATCCCGTTAATATTGATGCAACCACTTAGGAATATTTTCCCTAGCTTCTTTAGAGAAAAAGGCAGAAAGCCCCCACCTTCTTATCAAAAGCTTAGAAGAGATGACAGAGCAGGTAACAACCACCAAAAGGAGGGTGACAGAAGTTTCCAGAAGTCTCACAAGGCCCCAGTGGGCCGGTGACTTTACTCCCTTCCTGGTCAGAGATGGATTCCTACCTGCGGCCCCCAGCCGTGGCACGGGTACAGTATTGCTGTGTGGTTCTCCAGCGGCCCCTGGTCCAAGCAGACATCTTTTGCCTTGTTGTTGCGAAGCTGCAGGAATGGGCAAAACAATACCAGTCAGAGCTCAGCTAGTGGGGCTGCTGTTTCCCAGCCACGGTTCCCCCATATGCCTTGGAGCCCCCCAAGTAAGGACTCAGCTGAAGCCTGTGAGGTGGTCACTTTGGAAAGAAACATGAGTCCTTCAGTGGTGGCCTGGACTCCAGCCCTCCGCCCATGTACTGGGTGGTCTGATCCCCACTCCCTCTGCTTCCTCATCCTTAGCATGAAAGAGGATCATGGGGACTTTCTGGACATAGTACTGGTTCCTCAGATGTCAGGTCTGTAGACAACTCAGGGAGAGGTCAGAGTGGGAACTGAGACGTACAAACAAATTCTAAATGGGCCTCTGCATCCACGCTGGGTTTTAATAACTCTGGGGATCATTAGTGACATTCCAGGTCATTACTGACGTTCCAGTTGCCATCAGACTCATGGCGACCCCATGTGTGTCAGGGTAGAACTGCACTCCATAGGGTTTTCAATGGCTGATTTTTTGGAAGCAGATCACCAGGACTTTCTTCCGAGGTGCCTCTGGGTGAACTCTAACCTCCAACCTTTCAGTTAGCAGCTAAGTGTGTTAACCCTTTACACCACCAAGGGACTCCGTCACTGGCATAACCAACCAACCAACCAACCAAACACACAAAATATTTAAACCAATTGCCATTGAGTTGATTCCAACTCATGGCGATCCCACGTGTGTCAGAGAAGGGCACTCCCTAGGGTTTTCAATGGCTGATTGAAGCAGATCACCAGGCCTTTCTTCCGAGGTGCCTCTGGGTGGACTCGAACCTCCAACCTTTCAGTTAGCAGCTAAGTGTGTTAACCCTTTACACCACCCAGGGACTCCGTCACTGGCATAACCAACCAACCAACCAACCAAACAAACAAACAAACAAAAATTCAAACCAATTGCCACTGAGTTGATTCCAACTCCTGGTGATCCCACGTGTGTCAGAGAAGAAGGGCACTCCCTAGGGTTTTCAATGGCTGATTTTTCAGAAGTAGATCACCAGGCCTTTTTTCCAAGGTGCCTCTGGGTGGACTCAAACTGCCAACCTCTCAGCATCCTAGCGCTGAACAATTTGTGCCACCCAATTAGGCATGAAAAACAGTAGTCAAAAAAGGAAACAAAAACCCTGCCATCATGAAAAGCTCTAGCAATGTTTATTTATATAGTCAAAGAATATCTACTGAATGCCTTCGCTGTCCCAGGCACCATCCCGGGTGCTTGGAATGCATTCTGCAGGGAAACAGACAGAAGTCCTGCAAGATGTCTCTTTGCTAGTGTGCAATAACTTTCACCTAATTCGGACCTCCAGGCACTCTGCATTCTATACTGGGATCTATCCCATCCACCACGCTGCATGCAATTTCAGCCAGTGTGGAAAACGGCAATGCTGGTCTTCCCCATATGTATGTATTCACTCCCCTCCAGGTGTACGGTCCCTAGGTGGCGTGTGTGGTTTGTGGTCGGCCGCTAACTGAATCGCTGGCAGTTTGAAACCACCCAGTGGCTCCACAGGAGAAAGATCTGATGATCTGATTCCATAAAGATTCAGCCTAGGAAACCTTATGGGGCAGTTCTACTCTGTCGGGGTCACTATGAGTCGAAAGTTGCCTAGATGGCAACAGATTTTGTTTGGTTTTTCCAGGTGTACATTCTCTGTGGAAACCAAGCTAACTAGGAATAAATCTAGAAAGAGAGGCCAAGGATATGCTGTTCTTCGGGCAGAACGTGAGCAGGTTCATTTTAATGACTTTTAAAAAAATTATTAAGATTATAAAAGCAACACCATCTCATTTGAGACATTTTTGGAAAACACACAACAAAAGAAAAATCGTTCACAATCCTTTAACACAATCCACTAATGTTTTCCCTAATATTTTGGACAACTGAATTTTGTTGCATCCTGGCTGTGATGAGCAACTTTTATGCATAAAGCTCTGCTCCTATTATAGATTATATTCTTAAGAACAGAATCCTGGAACTGGGATTATACTACAAAGGGTACAGACATCAGAATGTTCTTTACAAATGCTGCCCAGCAGCGTTCTGGGAGCTTTGAACTAATTCATATTCCCATCCACAAGGTACATAAATGCTTATCAGTGTAATCATTTAAAAATATTTGTTTTAATTGCAATAAATATGTACATATAAAACAAAACGTTTGCCATTTCAACATGTTTTCCACGTACAATTCAGTGACATTAATTACATTCATCATGTTGTGCAACCATCAACTCCATCCATTTCCAAAACTGTCCATCACCCTATTGTTTTGATGGGAGTCCTTGGGTGGTGCAAACGGTTAATATGCTTGGTTGCTAACTGAAAGTTTGAAGGTTTGAGTCTACCCAGAGGTGCCTCGGAAGTAAGTCCTGGTGATCTACTTCCAAAAAATCAGCCACTGAAAATGCTACGGAGCACAGTTCTACTCTGAAACACATGGGGTTGCCATGAGTCAGAGTCAACTCAACCGGCAACTGGTTTTTGGATTTTTATTGTTTTGATAAATTACATTTATTTTAATAATAGCAAATTTTGAATGTTTAGCAATTATTTCCCATTTTAGAATTATTTGTTTATGCTCATTTCTCCTCTTCACTGGGATCTTAAGTGGTTTTATTGTAGATTCATAAGAGCTCTTTACATATTAAGGATATTAATTATTTTATGGCATATTTGTCCCCTATAATGATTTCAGGATGCCAGGCTTTTAACTTTTGTTTTAATGCCTATACTATCAAATGTATCATTTGGTAATTTAATAAATACTGACAGAGGGCCTGGTGAGTGCCTGGCACTGTGCTAGGTACAGTGAAGACCAAGATAAACAAAACAGTCTGTGCCCTGCAGTAGTCCACGGTCCCAGGGAGCGAGACACAGGAAGAAGGTTATGTGAGGTGGCTAGTACAATGACTGGAAGATGCCTAGGCTGCCAAGGAGGACATCCTTATGCCGGGTTCAGAGACAATTACCAAGAGGACGTGATTCCTGAGCTAAGTGTTGAAAAAGGTAAGTAGAAATGATGCTGGTAATGTTCTATTTGTTTACCCAGGCAGTGGCTACATGGATTTTTGGTTTGTGTTCATCTACTAACCTAAAGATCGGCAGTTCGAACCTACCCAGCGGTGCTGCAGAAGAAAGGCGTGGTGATCTGCTTCTGTAAAGATTACAGCCTAGAAAGCCCTATGGAGCTCAGTCTCAGTTCTACTGTGTGACACATGGGGTCTTCATGAGTTGGAATCGACTTGACGGCAACGGAGTTTTGGTTTATGTGTGTTATATTTCACAGAAAATATGGGATAAGTAAAAGAAAAAAAAAAAAAAGATGATGAAGCGTGAACTAGGAGCAGAGGGTAATTCAGGCCACAAGGGCAAGCTGATCAGGGAGTTTTGAGCATAGGAGCTTGGCGGCCGAATGTTTCTGTGCACAGTACAGAGCTTTTTATCATGTGGAAAGGCAACATCCCATACACTTCAGAGGAAGGGTATAAAGCATCAATATATCTTTCTTTAAAAATTATTTGAAAATACAATCCAGCTAACACAGACGAATGAAAATTTTTAAAAACTCAAGGAAAAGGAGTTTGTTATCTAAGTGGGCCTAGGGACTAGACTGTTGCAGGTAAGGCAGGGGCCCAGGGCTGATTCTTGCTCAGACGCCTCTGCCCTCTGGCCCTTCCCTGGGGTCTGGGTGTGCTGAAAAAAGACTAGTAGGAGTGAGCATTAAAGACAGAGTTGTCTAAAGAACGGTAAATTCTGTTACCAAAGTGAACTTGATTAAAAAATTATTCTTAAAGAAAATATAAAATGTAAGTAAAATACAATAATATTTGGGTCGAAAATCCCAGATAACATTAACAAAGACTGGAAAATTCACAGTCGGGGAAAAAGTGTGTTAAAATTCTTTTTTTTTTTTTTTTAAAAAAAAGAATTATCTATGTGAGATCAAATTGATAACAGCAACTCAAAAGGTTTGATGGGAAGCCTAGGGGGCAGTGATCTGAAGATAATGGTGATGGAATAATTTGGGAAAGGATAGTGAGAATAGCAGCACAACTGGAAGAATGTAATCGATGTCACTGAATTGTACACATAGAAATGTTTGAAATGGTGTAACTTTGGCTATGTATATTTTCACCAAAAAAAAAAAAAAGTCCTCCAACGTCGAGAAGGGAGAGTGTTGACATGTCATGGGATTGTTAACCAATGTCATAAATATGTGTACT